CGACACTCTCACAAGGTGAGTGCGCACGAACCCGGGACGTGTGTGTTTCTGTGAGCGCTTGTGGGCGGCTTTTCTACTGACACATCAGCGCTGTTTGGACGAGTGTGTGTTTGCATGTGCGCGTGCGGTTGTGTTTGCTTGTGCGTGACGAGTGTCTGTTTGCATGTGCGCATGCGGTTGTGTTTGTGTTTGCTTGTGCGTGACGAGTGTGTCTTTGCATGTGCGCGTGCGGTTGATTGTGTGTTGGAGTGTTTTTTTTTTGGGTTTGCGTATGTAGTCTCTACTTGAGGGGCGTGTTTGTGTACGCGGCGTGTGTGCGTGTGTGTGTGCTTGTGTGTGTGCGTGTGTCTGTTCGTGTGCGTTTGTGTTGTTTCGCCGATTGAACGCGCGGAGGTTGTCGCCAAGGTGTGCGGCCATGGTTGAATGAATTGTTTCGCATCCCGAGGGTACTCCTGCTGTATTCTGGCGTTGAGCGAAATGCGTGCGTAATATCCGGCGATTCCGTACGCTCTAATGAAGAACTGTAATCTGTTGTCCATCTATCCATCCATTGTATCTCTATCACCGCGTGGTTCGACCAATCACACTTTGGGCAGCTCAAGGGCTACGACATTCAAACATCAAACAGGAACAATAGAGTGTGGTCAGTGGTCAGGATGTGATGAACTGATGAATGCCGATAACTCCGATCGAACGCGTTGTGGCCAGTCACGAAACATAAACACCCCGCGCTCGATCGGATGTTTCTCCATTCATCATTTTCATACACACAAGAGCACACGAGATCCACACGTTTGTGTGTGGATCTCATGTGATCTTGTTGTGTATGAAACTAATGAATGGAGAAACATCCGATCGAGCGCGGGGTGATTATGTTTCGTGACCGACCACAGCCCGTTCGATCGGAGCTATCGGCATTCGTCAGTTCATCACATCCTGACCACTGACCACATTCCATTGTTCCTGTTTGCTGTCCCAACGCAGTAGCCGTCGATCTTCCCAAAGGATGAGTAATCGAAACACGCGGCGACAGAGATACAATAAATGGGTAGATAGACAACATTCCTTGATTTGATAGTATACATTATTGATTATAGACAGTCCAAAGCACAAGGTAGATAATATCCCTTGATTATATGCAGTCCAGATCAATGGAGCACGATCAGATCACTCTCGACATTGTCACCGCGTGTTTCGATCGGCCGTTCATTGGGCAGTTCTCATGAGCTGAGTAACTGATGCATGATGAAAACTTCGATCGAGCGCGAGGCGACCGGTCACGAAACATAATAACCGCGCGGCAGATCGGATCTTTCTCCACTCATCAGATCAATCATCCATACGTGAGTGGTGACATCGGCCATACCGCACGTGAGTGATGAACAGGACCATCACGATTGATCACGATACCGCCGCTGATCTGCCGAATGGATGATCAATCAAAGCAGGAGGTGACATTGTCGGGACAGCAGACACACCCAGTCGACCAATCGCCGAACACGAACAGAGAGCTCGCGATCGGTCGATTGATCGCGTGTGTTGTCTCAACGTTGTCACCGCGTGTGTGTTTTTCGCTAGTATCAAATGTAATAACAAAACACACATGGCACCGTGCGCGAACGACCAACCTGGCGGCGAGCGACCGATCCATCACACTCGTTGATGTACCCTGAGCGAACAGTAGACTGGTCAATAGATCCACCACTACCAACATCACTGAACGACTGTTCGGACTGCGGTCGGACGACCGGTTGATCCGGCATTCCACCAACCACACAGCCGAACGTGTGTTTGCGTTGCAACCGTGGCATCACCCTCTGCACGATCGCCCAACCGGCAGGCGTACCACTGATCCAGCAAACTGGTTGATAGGAGAGCGTTGGCACAAGTAACTGATTAGTTGATTGATCGACTTTTTGGTTTGTGGTTGGCCAATTAGCTGATTGATCGGCCGGTCACCGACCAGGGCACCGACATGCCAGCCGAGCGGTTCACTTTTCTCACCCCGATTGCACTGCATTCGACCTGCCTCCTCGTCCATTGGTCGTACGCAGCACGCAGGGCAGTTGGTCCACCACACGGTAGAAACCCGTGAAAAAGGTCGATCCCTGTTCGAGAATGGACAAAAGACAGTCCGTGACGACGTTGTTGCACATCGAACGTTACTGGCCATCGAACCTTGTCGGCCATCGAACCTTGTTTGGCATCGAACCTGACGCCCCATCAAATCTCGGCGGGCATCGAAATGTTGGCGGACATCGAACGCCATTGGACGGCAAACCTCGTCGGTCATCGAACCTTGTCGGTCATCCAACGACGAACTTTTTGCAACCACCAGACGACAGCGGGGGATTTGTGAAAATGTGAAGTCCGCCGGGATCCGAACTACAAGAAAGCACGGGATGGCGAGTTTGATAGACATCTGTGTCTCTCCCACGTAATTTCGCCAAGCTCGGATCCGGTGGACCTCCGGTTCATGCCTTCCGCTAGACCCAACACGCGGTGCAACCCCACCGGGCAACCATAGCGGTGGACCTGTGAAAATGTGAAGTCCGCTGCAATCTGAACTTCAAGAAAGAGGGGAAGGCGAGTTTGATAGACAGCTGTTTCTCTCCTACCGCATTTCGCCAAGTACGGATCCCGGCGAACTTCAGGTTCTTGCCTTTCGTAAAACCCAACTCGAGTTGCGACCCCAGTGCATAACCACAGCAGTGGACCTGTGAAAATGTGAAGTCCGCTGGAATCCGAACTTCAAGAAAGAATGGAAAGGCGAGTTTGACAGACAGATGTTTCTTTCCCACGGCATTTCGCCAAGTACGGATCCCAGCGAACTTCAGGTTCTCGCCTTTCGTAAAACCCAACTCAAGTTGCAACCCCAGTGCACAACAACAACACTGGACCTGTCAAAATGTGAAGTACGTCGGGATCCGAACTTCAAGAAAGAATGGAAAGGCGAGTTTGACAGACAACTTTTTCTCTCCCACGGCATTTCACGAAGTACGGATCCCGACGAACTTCAGGTTCTTGCCTTTCGTAAAACCCAACTCGAGTTCCAACCCCAGTTCACAACCACAGCGGTGGACCTGTGAAAATGTGAAGTCGACCGGAATCCGAACTTTAGGAAAGAATGGAAAGGCGAGTTTGATAGACAGCTGTGTCTCTCCCACGGCATTCCGCCAAGTTCGGATCCCAGCAAACTTCAGGTTCTTGCCTTTCGTAAAACCCAACTCGCGTTCCAACCCCAGTGCATAACCACAGCGAGGGACCTATGTCGTTTGATTGCTCGCCAACTATGTTTACGAGTGTCAGCGTCCCCGTGTGTGTCGTTTGGTATTTGCGCGTGGTGTGTAGGGCGCGTTATGGATTAGACCTTCTCGACACCACGAATCTTTGAGTCGATCTTCTCGACACCACAAACCATGAGTCCCCAAACGCACATTCGCTTGGCAGAACCGTTTCCTCCTTGCGCGAGATCAGTGCGGCATTTCAACGGTGTGAATACGATCCACGGAGCGACCGCAGAGGACTTCGACGAGGACCCCTGGATGACCGTCGTCCCATGCAAGGACGCGCATATTGACGATTGGTGCGATGGGAATTGGGCCACGATGGAGAGTCGCTACCCTTGGGCAAGCCAGTACAAATTTGCCAACATGTTGCAGTTCGGGAACCTCATCCCGTTGTCTGACGATGTCCTCGGACACAAGTTCCTGAACCACATGCGCAGAGCGCTGGGCTGCATTAGCCGCCATTTCAGCCGCCTCGAATGCCACTACGTCAGCTTGTCGCCATGAACTTGGGGAGGCTCGCGGAAACAAGAGTTGCTGGACTGCGCTCGTCACTGCTCGTTCCTGGGCCAGTACCCGCTCCGGTGCCCCGAGAATTCTCCACAAGTTGTGTCATACTGTTGTGTGCGATTGACTGTGTCCGGGTCTGATTTCGCCAGAGTTCTATGTGTCGCTACGTCAAACAAGAGCAGGAAACTCGTCGATGCAGTTGTGCTTGTATCACGCAACGAGGTGGCAATCGAGGGGTCCAAATTCGTTCCGACGCCGGGCCTGAACGTGTAGATGGGTGGCGAGATTTGGTTATAGCAGGGCCGGTCCAAAACTTTTCGTTGCTTAGGGAGGTCGAGGAGAAAGTGTCCGCCATACGGGACTGTATAGGGAACTCCTTAGCACGACCGGGAGTGTTTGTTAGGATGAAATACATGTCTGTCTTTTCGGAAACTGCAACGGTCGACGATCCGCTGGTCCGCGTTTACGGATCGTAAATGAATGCTTTGTATGGCTACGGTTCGCGACCTCATCCCCGAGGAACCGCGATTGTCACAAGATCTCGACGTGTGGTTGGACATCCTGCTTAAGCGAAAAGAAGGGAGACGAGTGAGAGGCTTGTGTGCTGCCGAACATAGCAGAGTTTTAGCAGTGGAGAAAGGCACGGGAGACAGCAGTTGCTAGTGCACGCCGTCTCTTTCCATGTCGTGCCCTCTTGAAGTTCGGATCCCGGCAAACTTCGTGGTTTGGCCTGTGCGTCCTACCGGCCTCCGAGCTTCGAGTGCTGAGCGGAGTCGAAAACGATCTTGCTACCAATTACGCCTGGACTCGATGACTGCTGCCATGGAAAGTCGGTTGTGGAACCCCGGGGTTTTTCCTCGTGCGCCTTTGGATGTTTCTCTCTGTTTCTCTTTCTCGCGTCCTCCTGAAGTTCGGATCCCGGCGAACTTCAGGAGTCGCCTGTCTATTGCCACAGACGGTGGTCTTCCGGATCCTTCGTGGATTCCGGCAACAGGCAAAGTTCGCCCTAATCCGAACTACTCCGATTTTCGATCTCGCGTTATGCACAGCTTGGCACTGGATGGACCCAAGCTCAAAAGCGACAACCGTGTCAACATTTCGTAGGTCCCTGGACTCCTCCATTTCAACCAGCCTTTCATTCCGGTGTGGCCTTCCTGGGTCGGGTTTGACTTTAACAACCTTAGACTTGCGGATCGTGTGTCCGAGACGCCGTTTCTGCCTGTCGCATCGTTCTGAAGTTCGGATCCCGGCGAACTTCACGTTTCGGGAGGTGCGTTGCTTTGTCGTTAGTCTTCGTGGTTCCGGGTCGGTTGCACAACCCGCCCGGCAACGGTTCCGGAGTGCGTTTGGTCGAGCACAGTTCTGGGACGCTGGCTGCATGGCTGCCTCTCTGTTCTGGTTTGGCTCACGGCGAGCTTCTGCTGTTGGACTGTCGGGAACACTACCCCGTCGAGTGCGAGCTTCGAACATGACCGCCAGTTGATTCCTGCGAAAAATTCCCGAAATCTACTTCCGCCGTCTCTATCTCACGCACCGTCCTTTTGTTCGGATCCCGACGGACTTCGCGATTTTCACTGTGCGTTTGTCTGTCTTTGTTCTTCGGGGTGCCCCGTGTGCCGCATAAACAGCACGTGATCCCATACGCACTGCGAGTTTTCACTTGCTTCTCTCTCTCTGTCTGCCTCTTGGTCTCTTGCCCGCTTGAAGTTCGCATCCCGGCGGACTACCCCTTCTCACCGTTCCGGATTTGGGTGCCCGGGTGTCTTCGTGTGCGGCTTTCGCTGCGCTGCAGCCTGCGTTGACGTGCGGCAGCGAGTGTTCTGTTTCTCCTGTGTTTTGACAGACGTTGACTTCATGGTGTGCTGTTCGATTTGCGTTGTCGTTCGCAGACAGTATGTCTTCTTCCAAGGGCGAGGTGGAGCCAACAAGGACCTCCAGGAAGGAATCACGAAAAGATTTCACGAGGCGGTCGTCTACTGCCACGCAGGGGTGGTCGAACCATTCGAGGTCGAAATGGTTCATCGACTGGTGTTGTGGAGACGCTTCCAACCCCATTGGGCAGCCATGTGGTCCTGTCATCTTCATCGATGACGGCAGAAGGCGTAGAGTGCTTGGTGTCGTCTTGCGGTGGGAGGACGCAAAAGGGGGCCGGCGACATTTCTATATGCAGAAAGTTTATGGCGCCAAGGGCAACGTCGTTGCCAATTCGAAAGGGACGTTGTTGGACCACGAATTGTGTGAGGGGTTCGGAGGGGGTGCTGTGAACACCCCGTTCTACAGAGACCTCGTTCTCGGGGGCGGTTTTGTTTTGGCGCGTGAATTTTTTGACATGTTGGAGGACAAAAACATCGCTCTAGACGTCCCCTGCGACGTCAACCCATCCCTGGAGCTGTCGTTGCCGTTGAAGCTGTGCAGCGGTTGCGAGTCAAGCGGGGCAGGGGCGGAGGGCGGTGATCTGGGTTCTGGTCCCGCCACTCAGCTGCACCGTGGCGAGAGCCGAGGTCAGTTCGACGACAGCGAGGATGAGGGGACTGCTCCGCCGTTGAGTGACACGCGGCGGTCTGTGTTGTCTATTCCTGGGGTTCAGACTGATGCTCCTATGCAGCGGAAGAGTACGGGGCCTGCAGTACACGTGGCGGCCTATTCGGAGGTCGACCTGGAGGCGAGCGAGGGACAGGGTGTGGAGGAGGTGGACGCGGGAGGCCTGGGCTTGCAAGGAGCTCTGCAAAAGAGGAGGGGGGATTGTCCAAACGAGTTCACCGGCTCTATGAAGAAGTTAAAGAGCAAGGCCCCCAGGACTGCGGGGGAGAAACGCAAGGGGACCAAGGGGGAGCAGGGCCGGCAGGTTGCCAAACGACCGTCTTCGAGACAGAAGCAGCCTGAGTCTTGACCGTCTTCTCCACCGACAACAGGGACTCCCATCGACGTCGACGTCGGGTACTTCCTCGAGTACAAAGACGGCGTTCGGACAAAGCGGGAGTTCGACATTAGCCCTGCGCAGGTCGTCGACCTCGGGGACTGGGAGGACCTGTACAACCAGCGGTCCCTGGATCCCGTGCTCGTGGAAGGGATCAAAGAAGCAATGCGGTTGGCGTTTGAAAACAAAGCGCAGTCTTACGATTTACCAACCCTGAAACTGGCGCCGCTGGGGCTTGATAAACCGACTCCGGGGACTAGGGCAGAACGTCTGAGACGGGAGGATTGGAGGGATGAGCTGGCGGGACAATACTACTACTACGCGGTGTGTGGGCAGCACAACGCGGCTGCAGCGAGGTCGCTGCTCGGCAGTGAGATGGCCAGGAAATACAATTTCGAGCGGTGGCCTGCACGAATGGTCTACTTTTCGGATGACGACTTCGAAGGGTACTTCCTTGTCAATTCCCAGGACAACAAGAAGGACCTGAAGGCGCCCCCACGACAGCTGAAGTTGTCAATGAGGGACATTAGGTGGCAGTGGAAGCGCGCCGGTTGCCCGCGTGCCGTTATGGGGAACCCCATCGGAAAACAGGATCAGGTCCGGAAGTGGCGTGAATTCTGTAATGTCGCACTCAACATGACACCGCACAACAACTTGTGGATTCTCGCAGATCAACAGGGCGAGGAGGCCATCAGGAAACAAGGCGCTGCCCTGCGTTCCTATTTCCTGCTGGCGATGGCAAGGGAGAACGTCTAGAAACTGGCCGTCCAGTTTTTCGAGAAATGGGAGACAAGCAGATTGCTCGGACACGACGGCGCAAAGTGGATCATGCGGAAGAAGAAAGTCAAAAATGTGAAGCCTGGGGTTGCATACATCCATAATGACAAGCTGGGCAGGAAGGAGGTCGTGTACAACGTCCCTGTGGAACCGCCGTCAAAGAAAGGCAAAAAGGAGAAAGAGGAGGGCGAGTGGTTCGTGCACGTGCCAGAGCCGGACGCGCATTGTTGGAAAACGATGGAGTCGCTGACAGACAACGAGAAGTGCCGCGTCCTGAAGAAGGTGCTCGCTTGCGAGGTGGTTTGGGTACAGGCCGTCTTCCCAGCGTTGGCGAAGCTCGGAAAGCTGAGCGTCCAGGAGGTGGTGAATTTGGTGAAGTGCGACCGGGTGCTGGTGCGTCTGTGGAACTACTACCAGTTCAAGCACGGCAAAAGGCCGGACGCGGATTGGAGCCAGAGGTTCCCGTTCCTGAAATCAAGGTCCACAATTTTCAGACAGTTTGAGAGTCGTGGTTTGGATGCTGAGTTGTGGGACGGGAGCACGAAATACGTCACTCACTCCTCGCTGTTCAAGGACTGCCCGCCCTACATGGGCTGCGACGACGACAGATCGATCGAGGCGACGGAGAAGCTGACCGGTCACAAGAAGCTGTTCGTCGACTGGAGGAATAAGGTCCTGTCCGTGTTGACTGGCAGTAGACTGAAGAGTCGAGAGATCGCGCTCGCCGAAGGCATTGTGCACATAAAATGGAATGACACGGGCGACGTGACATCCATCGCGCCATTCGGCAACGACCCCTTGGAGGCAGACATAAGGAGTGCGGAGGTGAAGGAGGCAGTGGTTGCCACAAAGAGTCACACGTTCGTCCTCGATCTGTGTGAACCGGTGGACCTGAAGCTTTGGAAACCGCAAGCGTTTGACACTCTGAATTCCCAACTCCAAACGTGCTGTCCGTCGCATTGGACGCTCGTTGTTTTTGTCCCGCGGCAGAAGAACCTCTCCTTTCTGGCCAGCATGAACCATCTTTTTTTTTCGTCAAGCTGCTGGAAGGGAAGTGGGTGAGGAGGAGTCAACAGAAGAAAAGCTTTCCTGTCGGGAACAATTTGTACACGGAAGACGACCGGATGTACATACTCTTCAAAGACGACGATTTGCGGGCCAACACGTCCGTCGTCTACGAGGGGAAACTGCCGGCAGGCGCCGCTGCTGCAGTGCGGGTACCACAGAAGGTTACGCAAACGGATGTGTCCGACATCCCATTCAACGCTTGCGACTGGTCGCATACCTCGCCTGCACGTCGGGGCATTGTGTACGGGGACATGGAATGCAACCCCGCCCATTTCGTTCAGCTTCTCGAATCCATCACCAAGAAGGGGGAGGGTGTCGTCTTCCTCGGGAAGCCACACGTGCGGTCAGTCTGGGAAGTACTGAAGGCAGGACGACACGACATCGCGATGGAAGGGAACTCCGAGCTCTTGCAATTTACAATTGATCTCGTCAAAAGCGAGGTCAATTCGGGTGCCCACAATTGCGAGTTCATGGTCGTCACCGAGACTCGGGCTCGCGCGTGGAACAACAAGACGGACATGTGGTTCAAGTTGAGTGCGAGGAAGTGGAACAAGATATACGACTTCTTGTTCCTGCAAACGCGGCCGAAGAGAGACACCGACGCCGAGTACGTGCGCCGCAAGGACCACATGTTCACGTTGCTCGACAACTACCACGGCGCCTCCCGCATGAACGTGAAGACCTTCCTCGAGAGGTTGCAGTCCCTTTACTTCGTGGAGTCAGAGGAGGAGCTGACGTTCGGCAGTTACTCCTCCTTGATCTCCACGGAAGACGAGGAGACCACCGGCATCGAGTTCGACGCGACCGCGGACGAGGAGGGCAGCGACACCGAAAGCCTCGACCTGCAGTACGACCAACATTCCGCGCAGCACGGTACAGGGTCGTCCTTGGCAGGTCCGTCGACAAGCCTGGCATCCCTCGTGTCACCGATGGCGAAACCGGCGCCTGGCACTACCCCGATGAAGTTGCTGTAGAGAATGCAAGCTCTGGCCTCCGGCCATCGCTCACTGCGTCCCGGGTCTGACATCCCGCCCGATCATCTGTCTTGGACGAATGCCAACATTCACTTCCTGCCTGAGCCTCAAAGTCGTTCCATGGAGGCGGACTGGGCCATGACATGATTTGGCATCCAGGAGTCATCCAGCCGACGATCCAAAAGGGTGAGTGGATCGTGGCGGTCGCTGTCCCGGACGGAGGATGGATGTCACTCCCTCGCGGGTCGAAGTCTGACTTCCTCGACGTCGCTAGAATTGCGGTCCTCCAGAAAGTGAGGGCCGAGAATGGCTCTTTCGAGCCCGAAGACGTGTCCGTCATTTCCACAGTCGGGCAATTGTTCGTCGAACTTCAGGACAAGTGCTGGTTGGAGCTGACGAAGGACTACTACGACCTCGACACGAGCCCCTCGAAAGGAAGGGTGGACTGGAAAATCCCCCCTCCCAGTGGGACGCATGTAAGAACAGGGTCCCGGGGACCGGAAGGTGGGGAGAACGAGGGCAACGAGGCTGGGGGCGGCAAATGAGTCCCGGGGCGACAACAAGACGGCCACGAGGCTGAGGGCGGGTCTCAGGGCGACACCACGACAGCGGAAGGCAGCGGCGGGTTGGCGGGGGAGGCCCTCGGGCGTCAGCAGTCTTCCGGTCCCGGTCCGGAATGCTCGGCACAGTCGGAGGACGTGCCCAGTTCATCCGCCTGCTCGATGATGGCGGCCTTGGTTGCTCTCCGTGCCGGCTCGGTCGAAACGTTCAAGTCCGCCGGGATCCAAACTTCAATGCTTGCAGAGCGGACAGAGAGGACGGACGCGCAGAGCTGGTCAGGAGCGGGGGTGGCGAGTCCTCATCCCAAAATAGACAGCGGTGCGGTGAGGGACGGGACTTCGCCGCCTGCGGGGGATCGCCAACCACTTCGGTCGGAGCGAGAGGGTGCGTGTGGAGGGCCTGGTGAAAGGGAGACGGCGAAGTTCGCCGGGATCCGAACTTCTCCAGGCAAGGAGTGTGGAGGGCCCGGCAACAGGGAGACGGCGAAGTTCGTCGGGATCCGAACTTCTTCAGGCAAGGCGTGTGGAGGGCCCAGCGACAGGGAGTCGGCGAAGTTCGCCGGGATCCGAACATCTTCAGGCAAGGGAGGCCAACCAGGGATATTGGTGCAGGCGGGAGGGGCTGCGTGCGGCGGGCGGGAAGCGCATTCATCGGGAATCGACACGGGTTCAAGCGAAGTGGCTGCATTGCATGCAGGGGAAGAAGGCAGGGTGATGGACAAAGAGAAGGAAGTGGAGGAAGGAGACACAGGGGAGGAATTGGAGGAAGGAAGGGATGAAGGGGAGGAAGAAGAGGATGAAGGAGAGGAAGGGGAAGAAACGGAGTTGGCTGGGTTGCTAGGAAGGCAGGAGGGGGCAAAAGGTGAACTCGATACAGGAGACGACGAACGGACTTTCGGCGACGATGATGGCAGATCTGGGGAGTCTTCTGACGGATTCGGGCAGCTGTACGGAGAACACCGCGAGGAAGACGAGGACGACGATGACACGGCACTGAGTATGGAGACACAGGTGGTCACAAGCCTTTCGGCAGAACGTGATGACTATGACGTCCAAGCAATGACGTCTGCCGTCGATCTCCAACACCGGTTCAACGAAGGTCGTGTAGCAGTCAGCCTGACTAAACCGAGTGTGCGTATTGACATCGAAGAAGTTATCGACGGCATCCTCGGCGACCACCAAATGTCCGCGCAGCCGTCCTCGACGCCTGGTGTCGACGACCCTCTCGACGTCAAACCTTCCGGGGGATCTGTCGTCGATTTCTCGCCGACGAGCTCTCCGATGCTGCCGCCAACCATCGCCAGCGGAGGAGAACGCGGGATTGGGGGACGACAAGATGTCACATCCCCGAAAAAAACTGTCGCCGACACTCGAGCTCTCGACGTGCTGGCCTTGCCCGCGCCAACTTCACCGATTAAGGAGCGGAGAGACAAACCAGCTGGTAAGCAGTGACAAATGCCACTCTGTCTGCGCGCCAGTGACCGCAGTGTCTGTCAATGCACACGAGACAAAAACATGTGTGTTTTTGTTGAAGCGTTCCCTCACATAATGGAAGGATGGTGTTTCTCTTTCGGAATGAGTGGTGGTTTTAGTCCGTCGGCATCCGCACTGCCAAGGCCGCTGCGTAACGCGGTTACTATTCTGGTGCCTCGATTGAGAAAAGCCCGCCGGGATCCTGACTTCACGAATGTTTGGCCTCCGGGTTTGTGGCTTGTTGAGGTTTTCCCTTCTGAAGGGCGGGGGTGTCGAGGTCGAACGCACTGCTCTTTTTGTTTTCCAGCGGGGCCTGCGCGGAAGTATTCTCTATCTCTCTCATGGCTAAACGGGGCTCTGTAAATAGATAGGTCCTGCGTCTTCTACATTTCGTGGTTCTTGAGTTGTCGTTTTCGTCGGGTTCGTCTTGGATTACGTGAGTTCATTTTTCGTTTTCTCTTCCTTCGGTTGCACAGGGGTTGGGTCATCTCTCTGGGTTGGAAAAGTCCGCCGGGATCCGGACTTCAGAGATGTTTGCCTTCCGCTTCTGTGACTTGATGTGCTTTTCCCTTTTGAAGGGTGGGGTTGTCGAGCTCGAGTGCACTGCTCGTTTTGTTTTGCAACGTGGCTCGTGCGGAAGTTCTCTCTCTCGCACTCTCATGGCATGACGGGGTTCTGTAATTGCATGGGTCCTGCGTCTTTTAGATTTCGTGGTCCTTTAATTGTTATTTCGTCGGGTTCTTCTTCGGAAACGTGTATTCACTTTCCGTTTTGTCTTTCTTCTGTTGTATAGGGGTAGGGTCGTCTCGAACACGGAGACCCTCTAAATATCCGGAACACATACTGCATACAGTCCCGGGGTTGACGACAAAACACAAGGACATGTTAAAGGCGTTAGGGTTGATGTCGAAATCGGGAAGAAGGACCATGCCATTGCCATTGAGGAGTGTCTTTCCCTTCTGCCCCCAGAGAAAGGGACATATCCACGATCTGTGACTAGGGGTCAGGCCATGTATGAGAAATACTTAGCTTCTCGTCGTGCGATGAAGGAGAATCCTTAGTGTTCCGTTTCTCACTTCCCCCACCGTCCTTCGCTCGATGTTGTGCAGTGCGGGCCACGACACCTGGAACAGCAGTGACTGCGATTGGAAGCTTGCGAGTTTTGGACGACATTGAACAAGGCTTGGTGCCACCTGACACTGTACTCTCGACCCTCCATGATGGTCAGTTGCGAATTGCAGCGAAGGATATTCTCACCCTCTCACTTACCGACGGCAGGGTGAATGATGAGGTGGTCAACTTCTACATGGCGCTATTAGGAACGACCGCATATGGGACAAGTGACATCCCGCCAGGCCTTCGAGTCTTCACCTTTAATTCTTTCTTCTTCAGTAAACTGCAACTTCAAGGGCACGGCGGGGTGGAAAGATGGGCTAAAAACGTGGATCTGCTTGAATATGATATTATCTTTGTTCCAGTCCTCAAAGATAATGATCACTGGATCCTCCTTTCCGTGAGCTTGAGAGATAATGTTCTTGAGATTTTCGATTTTTTTCCTTGCGTTGTAGCCGATTCTAGTTTTTACCTTAGTGTTTTCGAGTTGATCGTACACTATTTGGAATGTGAAACATCACATAGGCGCTCGTGCAGGCACTGGAAGTCGGTGGCAGCAAATGTTGTTATAGAGGGAGTTCCAAGACAAGTGGATGGAGTTAGTTGCGGGGTATTTATGTTGATGTTTGCGACACTGTTGCAACGTGGCGATCGACCGCCTTTCAGGTTCTCTTGTAAAAATATTTCGTATATTAGACGACAACTGGCATCATGTGTCTTGGAATGCCGTTGTCTTTGATGGATTCGATTGATTTGCAAACTTCTGTTTCAGAATATTTCATATTTTAACTGTCGCTTTCACAACGACATTACTTTCTTTGAGTGTTGCGGGTTTGAGTTGTCTTTGGTATGTTGACTGTCAGTTTGGTGTCGCGTATTGCCTTCGGAATCTCTGTCAGGTCCAGCTCGTCTGTTGTGTCATTACATTCATCGCATTGCAGTCCTCGTTGCAAATTGTGTCCAGGTCATCCAAGGTTGTGCATATAATTCACCTCGAAATGATATTCGTGTGTGTGGTGCGACATGACGAATTGGAGTGTGGATGCTAGACAAATCTCGGCGAGTGTGTGGGTGTGAGGTTCGTTATGCAAAGAGTGAAAGACCAGTGACATCACGTCTCTTGTGTGCATAGACAATCATGTACTTGTGACCGCCTAAATTACATGTGACCGACAATTTTGCGTTCTTGACCGGGAAAAATAAATTGTATGTCAAAAATAACAGTTACTGTTTGTACTTCTAAAGAAGTCTGAATCTCTACAACATCCAGACAACCGCCTCGGACGAGACGATAGCCATGCATGTACAACTCACGCATAAAAGAAATAAATAGTATTATCCAACAAGGATTCAATCATGACAACTTGCTCATCACATTCACAAACTTGAAGTTTGACAAGTGTGACTCCCGACACACTATCGCACAGGCATCCCGGATGGGCATGCCTGTCACTACTCTACGTCTTCTAATATAATTATCCAACGAGGATGCAATCATGACACATTGCTCGTCACAATTATGGAATTGAAGTTTAACAAGTACGGATCCCAGCACACTTCCGCACATGGTTCCCTGATGCGCGTGTCTGTCGTTATTCGTTTATGAAGTTTAACAAGTGCGGATCCCGACACACTTCGGCACAAGATTCACGACACATTTCTGAAGTTCAACAAGTAAGGCTCCCAGCACACTTCCGCACAGGGTTCCCTAATGGGCGTGTCTGTCGTTATTCGTTTATGAAGTTTAACAAGTACGGATCCCAGCACACTTCCGCACAGGATTCCCAACAGTGCCATGTTTTTGAAGTTCAGCAAGTAAGGATCCCGGCACACTTCCACACAAGGTTCCCGTACGGCGTGCCTAACATGTACGGGTTTGAACACGCTTCCTCATTTGGGATGTCATTTATAAAGTTTAACAAGTACGGATCTCAACACACTTCTGCATATGCTTAAGCCGTGGATGGGCGTGCCTACGTTGCTTGGAATGCAGCCAAAAATGAATTCGTTAGAAAGAGGACACAGTATAATGTCATATTTTAACAAATAACATGTTAATGGGAAAGTGGGACAAAAAAGGTAAATCCGGGAAAGCCTATGTTATGCCTAAATATAAGGACTTATCCCGTTTTCGCCCTATATGTCCTACATTTGAAGAACCGACCATCAAAATCTGCAAGAAGGTTTCTAAAGTGTTGAATCTGCTGTTGGACTCAATTCCTAAATCTTGCCATTTTAACTTACCCGCTGTTAGCAGGTTGACTGTGAGCATCGGGAGAGTTAACAATAGGATCAAGAGCACGTACCAGAACAGCGAAGTGATGGGAGCATGCTATGACATCAAAGATATGTTTAGCAGGCTACCGCATGAGGAGATTTTGAGTTCTCTGGATTGGATCATTAGTTGCTTTCCTGATAAGAAATCGATCAGAGTGAATTCGAGTGAATTCGAGAGGGAAAGGTGCTTCATTTGGTTTGAAGAAAGGAGAAGGTTGGTGGTCAGTTGATTTGTGCGATTTGAAGGCTTTTGTGCGCTTTGAGCTGCAACACACTTTTACCTTGGCAACTAACATTTTGCTAAGGCAGGTTATTGGGATCCCGAKGGGCAAAAGTACAAGCCCGCCACTAGCATGTATTCTGTGCGCACATGCTGAGTGGCGGTTTCTTGTATTGTTGGGCAACGACAAAAGACTTGTGTCGGGGATAAGACTGATGGACGATGTGTCCGTATTTTTCACCTTCCGAACGGGTGACAGAAAGTATATCGAGATTGCCAATAGTATTCGGAAGATTTTTGAAAAGTGTTACCCGAAATTGCTGTCGCTTAAAAGGACGGATGATAAAACCGGGACTTGGGACTTTATCGGGTGCCGTTTGGAACTAGGCCAGCAATACCCCTATGTGAGTTGTACGCAATTGACAAAGAATCAAGGGACTATCTGGAGACCTGGTCCTGTGCTGTTCAAGACAGGGCAGGATTCGTACTCCTGGTCAGACCTGAAACAGAAGAAGGCAGCTATCACAGGGTGGCTGTGCCGCATTGATCGTAACACAACCGCGCGCACAGCGATTCCAAAGCAGGTTTTGACCCTGCGACGTGAGTATCGGGCCAAAAGTTTTTCTGACGCTTTTTTCGGAAAAGTGGTGCGAAACTTCGCGCAGCCTCGAGAAGGAATCTGGCGGTTCTCGTCGGAGTTAGTAGCAGTGTAGATGTACCTAGCTAATGTGATGTTTTGTATAAGTAGCTTTACTTCTTCTTTTTCGGTCCTTTTCAACATGTACGGCTCCGGGGTTCGCTCCAGTTTCGGTTGGCGGAAGCAGTCGGTGAAGTCTGGGGAGAAGAAAGGGGGATAAGACAAGTTGACTCTCGAGTCCGTTCTCGCGGTACTCTTGGGTTGTTGCTTTCTCAATGAATGCTATCTTTGTTGTTTCGGACTTCGGTTCTCGACGGTGATTGTGTCTTTGTGTGCACGGTGTGTCACTTAGTCCTGTCTTCTGTTGTGAACCCTTGAGTAACTGTTGTCGGGTCTGACTTCAGTCTTCTAACCTCTTATAAAATGTAGCAGAAACACTTTTATCACGTTTTACTCGAACTGTCTAACACGTTCACAAAGTGTGTTGTGTGTTATCAAGTGAATGAATGTATACAATATGCTGTTCTTCCTCGAAATCGACAACAAGTTACGGAGGAGATGAAAGTTCACCAAAGGCTGTAAGTTGAACACAGATTCGACTATAGCCGAGCGAAGATTGATTTAATGGTCCGTTTGAACGAGTGTTTGTGTCTCATCATTAATGATATGGATCAGAAGTCTACAGAAGAAGACGACTATCCCTCATATTGGCCAAGCGAACAACTCGAAAACACTTAGGCACGAGATGATGATGAAGACAAATCTGACAGGTGTCATTGCACACGATAGAGA